GAGAAAAATACGATTCTGAAAGTTTGAAACCAATCGGAATCGATTTACGGGTACCTCCCATACAAGTTTTTTGAAATTTTGACTAAAATTACCGATTTTTGGACAATTTTGTATGGGAGGTTAATCGATTCTGATTGGCTTCAAACTTTCTGAGGTATCATTCTTTGGAGAAAAAATAAGATTCTGAAAGTTTCATGTTGATCGCATTTGCAGAAGTTTGAGCACAACACAAATAGTATTGAATAACGATAGTTTAATTATTTTTTTTGAAAAAAAAACATCAATCATTATAATTAATATTCAGCATGAATACCCAATTTTGAAAATGTACGCCATTGTAACTTATTTTTAAATGATAATGGAAAAAAAATTAAGTTTTCAATAATTTTAGTGAATTTTATAAAGCTTAAAATGTTAAAATAAGAAATTTAATAAAAATGACTGATGGTGCACTCAACGGTTTTTTCGAACTTAATTTGTGTCTAATATTATGGCTATTCTAATCTAATTTTTACTGCCGAAATCGCGACACTTAACCGAACACATCGTCACACAGAATTCGCAAATCAGAAATTTCTCAGTAGTTGTTCGTAAAATACCAAGGTTTTTCACATATAATCGACACTTGTGAAAAGTGGTTACTTCGTTTTCGACACTGAAGCATGTCAGTTTTCGAGAAAATTCTGTGGGAGCTGACGTTCCAAAAGTGGATGAGCTTATAACATTTGTCAATCAAAATGCAAGCATTCGAGTTCCCAAGGCTAGTTCGTAATTTCTAGGGGCGTACAGATTTGCATTCGGGCATAAAATTGGATAGGGTAAAAGTTGGCGATTTGTTCAAATCTGAAGACCATGGTCTTTTGCGAAACTATAATATAGGTGCTGAAATTTTCGATAATGGTGATCACTGTTTGAAGATGTTCTTGAACAGATTACCCCATCTGGATTAAAATAATTGAATTTTGTATTCCTCGATTTAATACTTCCATCGATGCCAAACTTGAAAGTCTGTGAAATAAAACACATTTTTTTCTCTAAATAATTTCACCTTCCGAAGTAAAGACTGTTTTGTTTTCATTTATTTGTTAAACATTAAAATACATCGTTTTTTTCTAATCTTCCAAGTGCGTTCGACTATATTTGTAGATTTTGATTTATTCATCAAGCGATATTTTGTTGTTGTCTGTTTCGTAAATCTAAAACAAAAAGACTTGCGTTGCAGTTCTAGCGAATATTTTATCGGCTTGGTAAAATATTTGGGAAATGTTGGCCAGTTTTTTTAAAAAAACATATTGCGATTTTAGTGATTGAATGAATTAAAAATCTTCTGGTGATCGCCGTTACATTTTTTTAAAAATTAGTGTATTCCTGTAGTTTGCAATTGCATTTAAAAGAAAAAATACAAATAATTCCATCATTTCAGCTGTGTGGACTCGCCTATTTTTTTTCTTTTCGTTTTCTTTCACTAAAAAATATATTTACATTAAACAACAATTAAAATTCAGAGCGTATTTTGAGCTGACATTAGCAGCACTAACTAACGTCAGCTGCTGATATTAGATGCTGACGAGTATGCGTTGCGTTGTTTTAACGCTTTTGCAGTATAAAAATGAGATATTCTCCAAACATTCCAATGAGATATTTGCACATTCCAATGAGATGTTTGCTTGCCTCTTCGTTTTTATACTGCAAATGCGTTAAAATAACGCAACGCATACTCGTCAGCATCTAATATCAGCAGCTGACGTTAGTTAGTGCTGCTAACGTCAGCTCAAAACACGCTCTGTTAAAATTACATATGTTTATGTCGATTTCCTACTTGTTTCTTTCGAATGAAACCGAGACAATGAAAATGGAAATCGGATATATTGTTACAAAAAACATACTAGATGTGTGTGTGTGTGTGTGTGTTTGATAGGGGGCAGAATAAGGAAGATACTTTAAGTTTTCTTTTTGTTCGATTTGTCAAAGAGTACAATCAATTCAGAAAAAATCAGATTCGTTGCCTACTAAAATCGATTTCCAACAGAACATACGAGTAAAGTGAGTTTCGTTCAGAGCCACTCAAAGCTCTGCTAGTTTTTTTGTCTTTGTTTTATTTGTTTAGATAGATAGATAGTTATGACATATATGTATGTCTTTAGCGACAATAAACAATGTAATAGTGATTTGAATGGAAACAATGCATCTAATAGTTTGAGTTCGTCTTATTTACATCCAAACATGTGTTTTAAGATTGCTGAGCATCTCAGCATTTCGTAAGGCACGGATATATCCGAGCATATCGACGACGCATACTGTATAATACAGTGGCGTGTGTTGCTACGTGCAGCCGCAACGACTCGACCGAAGTGTGTTCAGTTGATGTGGCTGCACGCAGCAACAACATACACATTCCGGTCGAGTCATTGCGGCTGCGCGTAGCAACACACGCCACTGTATGCGTCGTCGATATGCTCGGATATATCCGTGCCTTACGAAATGCTAAGATGCTCAGCAATCTTGAAACACATGTTTGTTTACATCTTATGATATTTGCATTCAATAACAGTCCCAAAGCAAAAGCCAAACAAATTTCCACTTTGAACAATCTCTTTGTGTGTGTTTTTTTGTGGAAGTGGCATTTGTCTCACTTTTTCCAATTATGGTTGACAATTAAATCTTTTCTGTTGTTACACCTTAAAAAAATACAAAGTTTCCTATGAGTTATCTTTTGTTGTCTTCTTTTTTTTACTACACAAAGAGTAATGTTTTTGTTTCTTCAAACGGAATTCTTTGAACTTTTCACACTATTTTTTGTTCTGTTTACATTTGAAACCGGAAACATTGTCTCTTGTGCGTCCAATCGTTTTCATTTATTTTCTTTTCACAATAACACTTGAATTGGTTTCATGGATTTTGTTTTATTTTGTTTCCTCTTCTTCTTCATTTTCTTCGCAAGATGATGAACAGTTAACAACAGCGACTATTTAACGATGTTTCGTGTGTGTTTACTTTAAAAATGTTACATTCTCTCTGTGTGTATTCATTCTTGCGTCTTGTCACAATCATTTTGTTCAGCAATTTGTCCTATTAAATAGTATTCTATCCCTCCGATGAAGAAAATAATAAAAATGTATTATCAAATCTATAATTTCATTTGTTTTAAAAAACACAGATACATTATTATTATTATTATTATATATGATTTCTCTAACATTTTTTCCCACGTTTGTTTCATTTTACAAAATAATGAATATATATATGAAACCGAACAAACAAAATTCTATTTATATCATGTATTCGATTCCAATTGTTTTTTTTTCTTTCACTTTTCTATATTTCTTTTTTTCAATAATAAGTTGATTCACATGTTGCGCTTTTAAATTGCTTTTGTACGAGAATTTTAGGGTTTTTTTTCTATATCGATCGTTTATATCATTTTATTTTCTCTTTTGTTGTCTGATCGTTGTATCATTCAATTTTTTTTTGGTCTGATCGTTGTATCATTCAAATGGAAACTGAACTGATTGAATGGACACTGTCAAAGAAAAATGAATCCAATAGAAAGAAAAACAATTTTGTGGAATTTGTTTTGTTGTTGTTGTTTTTTCAATTCGGAATGAGAAACTTTCTTTCATTGGTGACTCTAGTCACATCACACCATTCACATTAAATGCATCGGGAATCACTAAACGTAACTTTTTTGTTTTGCTTCATATCATTAAGCTATTATTGACTTGATCAATGATGATATGAATGATTTATGCGGTTATTTTAAATTCATGTTTGTTTGCTTTTTCATTTGTGCGTTTCGAACAAAGAAGATTGTTTTTGTGTTTTTTGTTACTTGGTAATTTGTTTTATATAAAATATATGAAATATTTTTTTCTGTCTATTCTTTTTCTCCATGTTTTTTTCCGTCATTGTTGATCTAGTTCAACTAAACGGTTCGTAATTGTTATAATGTCCCACTTGTTTATCTTCATTACGTCATTTTACGCGCAAATTGAATAGATATCAATACATCGTTATATAGTATAGCATTGCATGGTTGGGTGCTTGAGAGTTTCTATTTAGAGTGAGTCAGATTTGGTTTGAGTGCGAATGATATTTAAAGGAAGGAAAACAAAAAAACCGCCAGTTAAAATGAGTCTATCATTTTGGTGTTGATGCGATCAGAACCCGGATAATGACAAATGTACCGAATTTCATGAGGTCGGAAATGAAATGTGTGTAAATTAGACTGCTCAAAAAAAAAATTGAGATATTCAAACTCCCGGTTTTCGAAAATTGGCCTCAAAAAAATAGGTTTGGCATCAAAAAATCGAAAAACGTAAAAAAAAACCGCTTTCTCTAAATTCATCAAATTTTTGAGTAAAATAGTTTCGGAAGCCATTTTAGATCGCAACATTTCGACCTAAATCATTTTTCCAGTCAATTTTCGGCCAAAACCAGTGATGGGGTTTTATTTGGCTCGTCAATATCTATAACTTTCACCACATTAGCCATTAAAAAACCATTTTGGGCCAGTTACAGTTTAAAATGACCGAAAAAATGGCAATTTTTCGGCATTTTTTGCATTTGTTGATCTACCAGTCACCCAGGCGGTTGACTTTTGTTCAGATTTTGACTTGTGTCGTGTAGCTTAGCTAGTGGTTTTTTAATGACTAATGTCTTGGTGAAAGTTATAGATATTGACGAGCCAAATAAAACCCCATCACTGGTTTTGGCCCAAAATTGTCTGGAAAATTGATTTAGGTCGAAATGTTGCGATCTAAAATGGCTTCCGAAACTACCTTACTCAAAAATTTGATGAATTTTGAGAAAGTGGTTTTTTTTCTACGTTTTTCGATTTTTTGATGCCAAACCTATTTTTTTGAGGCCAGTTTTCGAAAACCGATCGGGGAGTTTGGATATCTCAAATTTTTTTTTTGGAGCAGTCTAGTGTAAATATATTTGGGAAACACTGCCATTTTTTGGAGATTCTTATATACATTCAACGAAAATATAAATACATGTTTCGCGACACAAAAAGTCCAACAATTCATTTGCTATAATTAAACAAAAAAGAAACTAACAAATTCGTCCAATTTTCATTTCGGGCTTCGTTCAAATCGATACCATTTTCATTGTTTTCATCAGGCTATGGATAAAAATGCGTAAAATATTGCAATGAAGACTCGGATAGTCGTTCATAAAATAGAAAACGAAGCTAAATTGCAGCAGTCGTACGTCGATCATTATCAAGATTTTGCTTCAATTCCTTCCGCCACCAGGCGTTGTTTCTTTTTATTGTTCATGATTTGTACTTGGATATGGAAACATCGTTGTGCGATCTGCTTGCGCGAAAAAAAAGAAACAAAAATTGAAAAAAAAATCCTCAATCAACACGTATTAAGTAGATCAAATGTACTTACCATTATGTGATGAAAACGCGGAATTTTTCGGTTTTGGCGGAAGTTTTGGTGTGGTTTCACCGAGCAAAAAACTGGGCGACGAATTCGCGCTAAAAAAAACCAAAAATGTTGTGTTAAATTCCTAAAAAAGCGGATAAAATAGGTGAAAATAAATCTACCTGGGCTTTCGATTGACTGGAGGTGCAGAAGTAATGTTTTGATGAAACTTGTTGGCCAAAGAGACATCGGGAAAATCGAGCGATTTGGCAGCCGGCAAAATTGACGGTGTAGTTGCATTGGATGACGTATTCGAGTCGCTTGTGGATGCTCCTTCTTTTAGTGCAGAATTTCTGCGCATCATGATTGTGCTGGTGTTTGGCAATTTCAGGCTGTGCTCTCGTAGGCCCTCGTCGTTGTATATGTTACAAGCGTTCGATTTTTTTACCGCAATATGCGTCAGACTCAGTCTCGGCGGAACTGGTGGTGGTGACACATCTCTTGGCGGTAATTCCGGTGCGTCGGGTGCTTGTCGAATTTGAGCTAGTCGCACCGCTTCCGTTTCTTGCTTTTGGCGTCGTCGTGGTGGCAACGGTGGTGGTATGTGGCAGAAATTTTGAGCATTCGGCACATTGACATGTGGTGAAATTGGCATCGGACCGAATTCATGCATATCTGACGAGATATTCGAATGCTTTGGACTCACTGGATATGTGCCGGCTGCACTTGTCGATGCACCCTCATCACCATAGCTACTGTTTCGCACATTTGAAGCGATTCGATGATGTGACGTATTTTGGAATGGAGATCGATTGAAATTTGAAGCACCAGCATCGGTTGTATTCTGATGCGTTTGGTAACTGTTTAATCGAGGACTTATCAATGGTGGTTCATTGTTATTATTTGCAAAACTGGCTGAATGCGGCGGTGTAGGTTCTTCATTCACCGAATCTAGCAGTTTTGGGCTAATTATTGGTTGAGATCGCAGCGCAGGCGTCACATTGTCCGAGTTGCGTGGACTTAATATTGGCTTAACATCCGTACAGTTCATATTGTTTGGCAAAGAAGTAATACTGTTTGATCGTTTCGGCAGTTCGGGCGGTAACATTGATGAGTTTAGCGATATTGTGTCACCGTAATCGGTCATGGATGTCGATATCGTATTCAATATCACCTGCGATTGCGAAAACGATGATGCAGAATTTCCCTGTATGTTGACATTGGCAAAAACTGCAAAGTCATGTGCGGAAGACGTTGATGTATTGTGGCTGGTTGGTGATTGTTCACCTTCGCTGGTGTTATAGCTCATGCTATTGTTTTGACTACTTTTACCACTGGTGCTGTTTGTGTGCAGCGTGGTTTTATTGCTAAAGGGTAGGGTACCCGGCATAGATATCGAACTCGTTTGATGACTATGGCGTTTTGGTTTTGTGCCAGGCGATTTTAATGGCAAATCTGGCCATTTTCTTGACTGCAATGGAAATCAAAGAAAGACAAATTTCAATATTTATGCAAAATCTACAATTTTCCCAAACACATTAAAAATACATACGAATTTAATTGGTTGCTTTGCGTATTTCGGTTCCAGTCGTTCACTTTCTTTGAATACAAAGTCTAATATGGCCGTATCACTCATTCCTTTGAATGGATCCAGATTCTCAAGGAAGCTCTGCGATTATTGCAAATTTGTTAGAATTAATTTCAAGTGTTTGGTTTGCTACAAGAGGACACTTACTCTAATTTTCGGGTCGACATTCAAGCAATACGGTTGATTCTGGTATTGTTGGATTTCTCCTGTGATTTCCGCCACTTTTCGACGCTTCGAAAAGTTGATCAGTTCTGTGTTTGGCAACTCATCTCGATTACCTTCCTCGATATGCAGAATATTCGTTAAA